GATTTTTACAATTTCTCCAGGAGCTGCATCTCCCGTCACCTTTTCTCCTCCACTTCGCGGCTTCTTCATGCTTTTTCTTCTCACCGTTTCTGCCAAAACTACAAACAAGACTTCGCAGGTAGGTTCTGAATTTAAATAATTCTGTCTTTCTTGTCTTTTCCCCCTTTCCTCCTGCACCGCCTCATCCCCCCCCCCCCCCCCCCCCACCACCCTTTTTTTCCTTCTTTTTCCCGAGTGTGGTGGCTTACTCAGCTTGTTTATAGTTGGGGAATCTCATTTTGAACTGAAATGTAAAGTCACTTGGCACCAGTTTCAGGAGGGGCTGGTTCTTTTATGGCGATCCGTTCTCCGCTGTTATTTTCCTCCCCAGTACCTGTCCACCCAGGTAGGAAAGGTGTCTTTTGCAATTATGACAGCAAAAGTTTCAGTGCAAGGAAAATAATTCATTCTTTCAAAAAACCTCGCTGCTCTTTTATTTTAAGACTCACACAGGATCATCGTAAAGTTTACATGTACCTGTTAGTGGTTTGCACGCACTGGGTATGCACAGGGAGCACGGCTGGACAGGGTTTTAGCTGCAGCCTGCTTTAGAAGTCCTAGCAAAGATGTGTTTCCCCAAACAGAAAGTTTGCTGTTTTGTCTGCCTAGCAAGTTTCATTTCTTTATTTTATTTTGTGAGACTGGGTGAAGTAACTCCTCAGGTTCTGGGATCCCAAAGAAAGAAGTGAAAGTAGTGGCTGGAACTTAAAAGTCGTTTACAAAAAATAGTCAATCCAGCTGGGGAAAAAAACCTTCTCAAAACCCCAAGATTGAAGATTATTGGCAACTTTTCTTTTTAATGCTAAGGAGCAGAGCAGGTATTGAAATACATTTAAAACTATTCGCCATTGGTGGGTTTTGCATTATTAAGCCAATTGTCGAAGAAAGCTCACAGGTCCAGGCTTTTATTAATTTGTTTCTCTTCTATTTACTTTCATTTATTTATGCTTGATCTGTGATGATGGTGGAGAGATAACAAGATGCAGAGCAAGAAATAACTGAGCAAATATAAAGTTTTTGCATGTATGCTCTCAATCTTTCTCTCTCCCACACACATGCATCCATGTCTATAAAACTACCAGTTTACTTTCTCAATATGGATTCATTTGCTGTAGCCTGTGAGTAAACATACTGTCCTTGTGCACACAATCTGCATATTCATACACTTACCTGCACATGGATTTTTAAAGCAACCTTGTTTTATAATCAAAAGCCTAAGAGAGGCGAATTCAGAGCAAATAAGACACAAAAGTACAGCGCACTTAATTGATCAATTCTGATGTAAATCTTTACGAAAGTTAAAAGGGAAACATAAAACTAAATCCACTTGGGTTACAAAATGTGTTGAGACAGGTCATCCATTTCTCGGTTTTGTGTAAAGCTTTATAGCTTAGGAGCAGACAATAGATCCTAGGCTGGGGTGGATTTTGTTCAGAAGAGCAAGGGTTAATTGCCCTTGTTTTACAGTTTGCATCTGTTACATCTTTTATAGCCCCCTGTTTAAACTAATCCTTGAGTCAAAGCATCTTTAAAGCTACAGCATCTTCTTCAAGATAGACAGTTTCAGGAGCCTTATATCGAGCAAACCAAGTGCTTCCCCACTCCCATTTTGACAGATTCAGTCTCAAATACAGCCTGCATGTGTGCACAGACATAGGTATGAAAGTTTACAAGTCGAAATGGATATGATCATTTAGAAAGCCAGAAAACACTGACAGCAGTAGTTTTGATTTCTGTTTCTTTTCTCGGGCGGAGGGGGGGACGGAGACATACCGAATCTTTGTTTAATGGGCATGGGGAAACCCTACAATGAATATTGTCAAACTGACTAAAAAGGTGACAGAGGTTTATAATTACACTTCTCATTGTTAGTGCGGGGGGGGGGAGGGTAAGAAGTGAGGTCTCAATTCTGCGCGTTACCCTCCAAGGGAGGGGGGAGAGAGAGCTCTGTTTCCCTGTGGCTCTCCTCAGTTGGCCGAAGTGCACTAACAAAAATACAAATAAAGATAAAGCGAGCACTTCAGGGGAGAACAAGTTGCCATGTCAGGCTAAAGTACTTTTAGGAGGAAATGGTCCGCCTAGCACTGAGTCAAACAGCCTTCTCTACGAGGCTGTGCATTCCCTCATACGGTCATGAGTTATGACTCATTTTGAAGATGTAATTCTTGTCTCTCCGATCTCCTGTGCTGGTGTAATACACACACACAAAATTAAAAACCTGGCTGGCTGGAAAGGAAGGGGATCAATTTAATCTCTGATCCAGCCTCCCCCAACGCGGCGAGTCTTTGTGCGTGTGCGGATGGGTTCTTTGGGGGGGAATATTTGGGTTCCCTTTGGCGCCCTGCATTTAAATGGGATATACCAATTCCCACATTGTTGCTGTGTTTGGTTGTTACATAGAGTCTGCGTGCTGCTGAATCAGGGAGTCGAGTCCATGCGAACTGCCATCTGATCCACTCTTATCAATGAAGCAGCAGATCATGGCGGATGGCCCCAGGTGTAAGAGGCGAAAACAAGCCAATCCAAGAAGGAAAAACGGTAAGAAACCCCTGAATCAAACTTTTCCTTTCGACTCCACTAGAGAGACAGAGGGGGGAGAGGGGAAAAAACCACCCAGCAGCAACAGCAGCAGCCCGGGGTTTGCTGGCGATCGCTTTCTGTGTAGCGGAGGAGAGATCCGCCTGTTGTGTGTTTCTGGAGGGGAGAGAGAGTTCAAGGGAGTCCCAGGGAAAGTGAGTGTCAAAGCAGCCGGAGGATCGCAGTCCTTCTCCCCGGGCGCAGTCCCAGCTTAACCCAGGGCTCCTATCCCCACCCCCGCCCCCCATTACCCCCCGGGCGCCTTTGGAGAAGTCCGATCAAGTGGGCAGAGTCCCAGATCTTGGGCTTCTGTAGTTTGAGTTCTGCAGAATCACTGGGCGGGTTGGAAAGAAAAGCGAGACACTGAGCGAGAGCCCCGTGCAGACTGTGTGGCTCAGGCAGGCTGAAAGTTTCTTGCCCGGGTCCCTGCTCTGCCTAACGGTCCTGGGTTCTGTGTCTCTTGCGCCTGGCTTCTCACCCCTTATCCCCCTCCACACACACACACGCACCCCAGGACTCGCTGGATTCTCTCTCTCTCTCTCTCCCTCTCTCTCTCTCCTGCTTTATTTTCCTTTGACCGCTGCCTGCAGTGGCAGAATTACCTCCCAGACATGTAAGTCTCACACAGACCAAAGCCACTTTCCGGCCAGTTTTCATGTTGGCAGAACCACCCAAGCCATGGACCCTAGTGTCAGGGAGAGAGAGAGAGAAACGAGAGGGGGCGGAGAGGTATTTTTAATAGTTCCATTAAGGGGGGAAAGCCCGCGGGAAAAAAAAACCCTCATATTCCCTGGGAAAAAGGCACCGTGAGAATCGTGAGCCACATTGGCAAGGAGTTATTTACTTTTTAAAAATGGGCATGGACTCGAAAATGAAACTTCCTTCTCCTTAATCACGAATAAAAAGAGTTTGCTGCCCAATTGTTCACAGTTACCCTCTCCCCTGGTCTCTGCAGGCGGCTGAGAGGTTGGGTTCAGTGGGACGGGGTGTTCTGGTCTGATCTCACATTTGGCAGCTCTTCTCTGGTGTGGGCCTCTGTCCCTCCCTAGTTTCTTCCTTTTTTCGTTGGTTTGGAAGTCTGTCCCCCTCCCCCAGCCACTGTGGAGCCCCTGAATGGACATCCCGGCCCCACTTTCAACAACTTTCCTCTAGAGATCAGGAGGAATGAAGATATTTGTGTGAACCTGAACCTATTTGCTTATAACTGAGCTACTTCATTTAAGTGGAGAGGTGGAGTGGAGGGTGGAAGGAGAAAAACACAAAGACAAGAGAATGTTGATTAGAAACAAATGATCCTTTCTGTCTCCCCCCCCCCTTCCCTCTCTCTCCCCACCCCCGCCCCCCATGGATTCTCTCTCGCGCGCGCGCGTGTGTGTGTGTGTGTGTGTTTCTTGTTGTGGTGGAGGTGTCGAGCCATATGGGGGAGTGATAGAGGAATTTTAGTCAGAAACTGTTCTTTATGTTACCCTTTGTGTTGTCTTTGATCTATTTGCTGGGCTTAGTATTACAAAAACCCAACTAAAATAATATATTCCGAGCAGCTTCCCAAAGATCCGTTCCTTGTTATCTTTTTTAAGTCCCCCCATACACACACCCCGCCTTTGCTCCTGTGTCTGTCATTATTTAAGGTGGTCCTCACATAGGAGACCTCCCCTTCCCCTCATCTCTGGATAATTTAGTAGACATTAAAATTACACGTAATGTTTCCCTCTCCTCTCTTGTGTTTCTTCTGTTCTTTTTATTAAA